GGATAGAGCATTGGGCTTGAAGACAGCAAGACCTAAGTTTAAATCTGGCCTTAGACACTAATTGTGTGACCCTGGGCAAGTTACTTAACCTTTTTGTACCTGAGTTTCCTTAACTATAAAATGGGGATAATGGCACCTAACTCTGAGGGTTGTTGCACGGATCAAATGAGATGATATTTGTAAAGCACTTAGCATGGTGCCTGTGTGACATGAAAAGTTCCAGACACATTATTTCTGGGTAATTAATGATCAATTTTATTAATTATGGCTAGCATATAATTAATTAAATGATGGTCATTTGGCTTTCTCTTATAAAGCAAAGACAAATCATGGAGGCCACTGGATGCTTATACACCCTGGAGGAGTGGGTGTTCCCAACAGGCAAAAATCGACGAGGTGGGCCTATTCTAATAGGGGGCTGGGGTGATTATGTCATTCTTTTCTCTATTCAGACTACCCCCACCTCAGGCAATCTAGTCTAAGGGATATACCTCCACCCAAACCTGCCTGATGAGAACACAACAGGCCAGAATTCACACTAGATTTTCTAGTTGTGTGGGGTCCCCCTCAAGATCAAACAGCATGTACCAGAGGATTTTGGCCATCTCCTCTATCAGCTATGTCCTTCAGTGACTGGCTGAAGAACATACGGAGTTTTATTTTTGAATGAAGAAATAGAAAGGGAAAATCTTAATCTCAATAATCGGCTATTAACAGATGAAAAATAATCATTTCTCTCATCTGGAAGACAACAGGCACTTAAATACTTTCCCCCCTCTTTCCTTCCTTCCTTCCTTCCTTCCTTCCTTCCTTCCTTGTACAGTAGACCATTACTAGGCTCTATTTGTAACCTTGGCTATTGAGTACAAATACTGAGAGTAAGAGAGGTAAACCAAAAGATTATCAATTCTGGTGGTCCTTACAAGGATTAGAAGTAGCACAGCATAATGGAAAGAGCATTGGATCTGCAGTCAAATACCCAGGTTCAAATCCTACCTCTTTCATTTCCTATTTTACTTTGGGTAAGTGATTTTATTTCTCAGGGCTAGTTTCCTCATCTATAATATGAAGAGGTTAGATTAATGACTTTTAATCTCCCTTCCAGCTCCAAATCTATAATCCTATGATGTCCAAAGTCTTTTTCCAGTACAAAAATCCATTGATTCCACAGCTCTCCCAACTCTCTGATATATGCTTCTGTCTGATTTGGTTTCTAGTAAATAGTTGAGAAGGAAGAAGAGAAAAAAAATTAAAAATAAAACTTTTGAGTAGTAAAAACAACAGAAAAAGCATTTGATTTGCATGTGGTATTGCATAACACAAAAGCTCATATATTTCTTTTAAAGTGAGTGAAAAAAATCATTACTGTTTGTCAGGGAAGCAATGCTAGAAAGTAAATTTTCAAATGATCAAAAAATGAAAGAACCATAGATATATAATAATATGCCAATGTGTACATGACCTTTATTACCATTTCACAGAATCTTAGACCTGAAAGAAGACTTAGAAATGATTTAGTCCAATACTCTTGACTTTGCAAATAAGAAAACTGAGGCCAGGCAAAGTTAAGTGACTTGATTAAGGCTGGGATTGAAATTCAGGTGTCCTATCTCCTAGTCACAGGTTCTTTCCACCACAGCACTGCATCCTCCCCTCTGGAAAATCCTTGTGAAATCTACTATTCAGAGTAATTTTAGTGGACTTCAGAATAAAACCAAGCAAAGGAGGTAGTGCCTGGCTTCAGAGAGACCTGAACTTGAAATGACCCTGCCTACGTGGTACAAGAATAGAGATGGCATGAAAAAAACCTGGGCAATATAGCAACACAATTAACTCATACTCTGCAAGGGTTTCTTTTAATATTTCCTGTGATTAACATGAATCAATAAACTGACACTGTTTACATTATCTAGAGTTTAGATGGCACTGATTCTTGGTAACAAAAAAAAATTTGATTCCTAATCATGATACCATTTCATTTTTCAAGCAAAAGGAATAAAAGAATCAGTCTATAATCATCTACTAAATACACTTTTTCTTCCAGTAATGTACTAGTTATTATGTCATATAGAAAAGTAGAATCAATCAGTCATTTTTAAGTGTCTCTTATGTGTAAGGCCCTATGCTAGGCACTGGGGATATGAAGACAAAAATAAAACTGTTCCTACTCTCAAGGAGCTTACATTCTATCAAGGAAGATGTGTGTGCATGTGTACAAAATACATACAAAATAAATAAGGTAATTTCTAGGTAGAGGGAACACACTGAAGACATGATCCATGCTGCTAAGGAGATGTATCTAGTCTTGGAGATAAAATGTGAATACACAGACTAACTAGAGAACTGTAAGGACCAGTATGTATGGGCCATTCTATGTTATTGTTGCTATTCAGTCATATCTGACTCTTTGTGACCCCTATTTGGCAAAGATACTGGAGTAGTTTGCCACTTCCTTCTCCAGCTCATTTTTACAGATGAGGAAACTGAGGCAAACAGGGTTAAGTGACTTGCTAGGGTCACATAGCTAGTAAATATCTGAGACAGAAATGAACTCAGGTCCTTCTGACTCTAGGCCCAGCACTCTGAGCACTTTACCATCCCAGAAAAGTGAAAGATCAGAAAGGTCTCATGGAGGTAGGTCTTCAGTCAAAGATCAATGATTTTAGCATTACAAGGGTTGTTAAATATGATCTAGTTCAAAAATCCTTCATCTTACAGATGAAGATGCTGAGATCCACAGTGATTCCCCAAGGTCATATATTAAGTAGTAAGCAGATATTCAGCCCAGGTTTTCTATATGAAATCTAATGTTTTTCCCTCCCTCTGATATACCACACTGTTTAAAAGACCCAGAGATTACTGGTTACTGATTTTTTTTAATGGGATAATACGTTGGAGAGATTTGTGTGGTTTAGGGCAAAAAAAATGCATTACATTTTAGAGACTACGGATTTGAGGTGATAATGTCAATCCAAATAAAATATGCTCTAGGCTCCTTGAGATATAGGACTAGAGATGAAGAAAGGCATAACCTGGAATTGTGGATGTTGGAATCATGAGTCATGAACTGAGTATATGTTTGCTGACTGGTTCAGGTGAAATTAGATTTTATTCTTGTGTTGGAGGGAGGGAGGGAGGGAGAGAAAGAGAGAGTGACAGAGAGAGGCAGAGAGACAGAGAAAGAGACAGAAGAAAAAGAGAGAGAAAGAAAGAGGAGAGAGAATCTAAGGTTCACTAGTAGGAATATAAGAATAATGGACACAAGGGAAAATTCCTCATTGTTAGAAATGAGAGGTTCTCTAGGATTTAAAACTTGAAGGAGCCTTAGATATCAACTTATTCAATCCTCTCATTTTACAGATAAGGAAACTTAAGCCCACTAGGGTTTAATGACTTTCCTAAAGGTCATGAATGAAGTAAAGAGCAAAACGCGAATTCAAACCTGAATGCTCTAATTACAGAGCTTCACCTTCCACTCCTCCACTCCTCCTACCCCCATGCACCCCCATTACTGGATGCTGAACTCTAGGGAATATACTGCAAAGAATACATATCCCATTGGTTGGGAGGGCAAAATAAAAATGGATCTACTAACATATATATTTGGTCTATATGTCTTATTTCGCCCTTATCACAGAAGACTCAGCTCTCCACTTGGACCTCGGGATTGAATCAAGTAACGGAAGAGTAAAAGTAAAGAAAACCCAATTTGATGCTGCTTGCTCTAAATAAAATGCCCATATATGCCCTCGCTTCTCAAACGTCTTTGGTATTCCACCGGGAATAAATTACATACCCTGCAAGTTTTTACACTGGCGAAACCAACAGGGAGGGGGAATTTCTACAAGCAAAGAACGTGGAACTAGGGCAGGCTGAGGAGACTGAAAGGGCAAAACTATAAAGCAAGAAAACTGTAAGTTCTGATTAGTTTTATGACTTTGCCTTCATGCCTGGGGTACTCAATTGATCATGGATTCTATGACAAGCTAACGGGTAGAAGGAAGTGGTGAATTAAGAGGGGTGTGTGTGTGTGTGTGTGTGTGTGTGTGTGTGTGTGTGTGAAGAAATTCTTAAACTCTCTCCTCCAGCTTGCTGCTTTTCAAATGCAAATATCTCGCCAAGAAATGGCTTGGCTGCAGCCCCCCCTCTTTTAAACCCCCGTCCTGATTTTTATGCAAAGGAATCCATCTGTATAGATTCCTTCAAAAGGCAGAAGGAGGACGATGCGTGCATGTGTACATCTGTGTGTACGCGTGTGTATGCGTGTGTGTGTGGATGTGTGTGTGTGTGCGCGCGCGAGAGCGTGCATTGACAGGGTGGTTTCTTTTTTGAATTCCTTTTCCACAGCCACCATTGGGTCTTCGGGAGGTACAAAAAGTCTCAGTGCCTCCTCTGGCCGGCTTCAGATAGAACTGACAGCGGGCGCCAGGCGCGGTGAACCTCCTCTCTGGGCTGTTCTTCCTTCCCCCACCCCTCCTCTTGCGCTCTCCCTTTCCCTTTCCCTCTCCCTAGTGGAACGAACCCTCTCTCCGTACCTCTCGCCTATGAGAAACGGTTGGGCAAGACCGCGAGAGCTCCCTCCGTGCATCGCCGGCTTCTGTACTTGCAGCGCCGCAGAGAGTAGCGGGTTCCCTCCGCTAGCCGCCCACTCCGCATCGCGCCCGGACTAGCTCCAGCTTCTTGTGAATAGCGGGAGGGAGGCAAAGAGGGAGGGAAAGAAGACGAGAGGAGAGAGGGAGGGAGGCAGAGAGTGAGCGAGCGAGCGCGCAGGCTGGGGTGGGAGGGAGAGAGTTCTCCGCAGTCTACTCGCCTAGCGAGCGAGCTCCGGGAGAGCCCTCCGCCTCCACTGGATGCGCCCGCCGCGCAGTGTGATGTGATTGGAGGGAGGGAGCCCCCTGTGCCGAGCGGTCCAGAGCACAGACTCGTTGCTGGGCGATGCAAGTTCATCCCGGAGCTAAGAGAGGCTTAGGCACATGTTTGAGAGCTGCCCGCTAGTTCTTTGCTGATGAGAGTCTGTATCCATTTGGATTAAAATACCCACGCGGCTTGTGACTAACACCGGAGGGGGTACAACGGAATACCAGGTAAGAGGACCAGCATTCGTTCTTCTTTGGGTTCTAGGGTTGGAGCCTCTGTGTTATTTTTAATGTCCTTTCAGCCTTCTCCAAGTATTGCCAGCCTCTGAAAAGGAGAAAAGGAGCTTACAATTTACTTGCAATTAGCTTTAGAATTCAAAAGTTATTGCCGTTTGATATGAAATGCTTCTATCGAGAACACGATATGCATATGGAGAGAATAGGGTACTATCTTGGAAGCCTTTAGGAAAATACATCAGATGTGACGTTAGAAGTAGTTCCGAATAAGAGGAAATGCCCAAAGACTCTTCGGTCGGTCAACAAGCATTTAGATGAAGCCTTAGACACAAGGAAGTCTGGACGGCTCTTCACACTTGAAGGGGGTTGGGGGTGTGGGGAGGAATTGAGAGCGCCCGAGTTCTTTGCTTCCTCACTGGTGCCTGTAAAGCTCAGTCTTTCTATTCAACACCAATCCTGTGTGGAGTTGTTGGGTTGAGGGTAAAAGGTTTACTGTTGCAAGATAGATCTTTTTCTTTCTCCCCACCCCCTTTTAAACTATAGGTGTCAAAAATGTTTTACAATTCGAAAATGTGAAACAAGTCACATAGGGCTTTATTTCTGTAATTAGTATTCAACTGATAAGGTTGGCTCTGCAGTGCTTTAGCCTTTGATTAGTGACCTCCTCCCCCCTTCCCTATGTTGTAGGTTGGTTGTATACCCAGGCATCATGCTTCTTTGATTTCAGTTTGTCTGACGCTTAATTCGCGTTCCATATTGGCTGAAATCCTAAGTACTCTGTGCTACAATTTGAACGACAGAGAAAGAACCAATTGACTCTCAGAAGACCTTTCATACCCCTTTGTTGTCTTATGTACAGTTCAGGTGAGTAGGGGCTAGAACAAGTTCACTTCAGTGGGAAAATGGATTAACTACCTTGGAAAGGAGGGCCAGGGGCCAGGATTAGCAAAGCCTTTTGGATTCTGCAAAATGAACCCCATGTATTTACTTTAATCCTTTCCCATTTCAAGAAAAATCTCCTGATTTATAGACAACTTATCAAATGAAAGGAAAGACTTGAAAGAAAAAAAACATGCACTTCATAATCCTTTAACAAGACAGATTTCACTGCCCTCTTTCTTATGGAAGTGAATAATCAGATTTTGGAAGAAAACAAATGATGACATAGAAAAATATTGTGACCCAAAAGCAAATTTTATCTTGTCCCTCAATCTATTCATAAGACAGGGACGGTTACTTTTTTGAAGGCCTAACTATGACTCATTTCTTTTTCATTCTAGAGAATACTTTTTTGTTGTTTTTCTCTAAAGGAATTTTATAAGCATTGTAGTGATAGTCATGTATGCATTGCAGGTGTAAATGAGGTGAACACCATTAAGAGCACACACACACACACACACACACACACACACACACACACACACACACACACACACACACACACACACACACACACACCTGAACCTTGTTTTTAGAGGTGAATGGATCAAGAATTTTCAGGGTTAATTTTTTTTAAAAAAAGCTAAAACAGTAGTTATTTTTATCAGGTTACTGCCTGGAGTACCTGGCCAGTGTGAAGACAGAAAACAGCTTGAGAAAAATAATTTAGTGGTGTCTAATTAAAAGTATGTGTTTCATTGCTATTATGTTTGTAATTTCACCTGGATGCTAAACAGGACTTCCTATTTAGTAGTCCCTGTTTTGACTTTGTGTTTATCTCAGCATTTTGCCTTATTCGCTCTCTGTGTAGGAGAACTCCAATGGCATTTTTTTCTTCTTTATTTTTGATGAGTTAAAATGAAAACTAACCCAGGAAGAAATGAAGCAGAATGACAAACTGGTAACTTTTGTAGCAGTGAGAATGGGGGGGAGGGGAAGAAGAGAAGGAAAAGCCTTGTTTCTATGTTAGCATTTAACATGGAAGCAGACAGCTGAAGCAATTATGTTAATACCAAAGTTAATGGTCTTATCTAGTATGGCACGTTGAAAGTGTATTGGTGGGAGAAACGCACGCGCCTGTACACACACACACACACACACACACACACAAACAAACCAATAATCAGTGTGCAGGCCATCTTCCTGCTAAAAGCTATTAAGGTTTGCAGTTTTAATAAAAGGACACTGTGCCCTTACAATGTAAGATATTATTGTAATTAAAGGCTGCTATAGGTCATTAGAACTGTGTTAACAATCATCTGACAGCCACACAACTCTTTCAAGTCTACTTTTATTGATTTAATAACTCAGAGCTTTTACCTTTTCTTATAAAAGGGTAATTGTTAAGCATCTGTATTACTGCAATTTACCCTTGAATTGACTGGAGTCTTTAATGGCCAACGAAGAAGGGTATGCTGCACACAGAGTTGGCTTCTGTTCATCCTTCCTAAGTATAAATATCCCCAGTCTGTCTTTTTCAGGTGTGTGTGTGTGTGTGTGTGTGTGTGTGTGTGTGTTTTCACTTCCCTACCTATCTGTACATTTCATAGCATTTTAGCTTCCTTGATAGCAAAGTCAAAAAAGCCTTCATGTAATGCATGATGAGGAAAAGTGAGTACTGTTTGAGTCAAATAATGCCTTAAGCAAATCTTTTAAACATCTTTTACAAGGTGCTAAACACATAAATTGTTCCTCTTTATAGTGGATGGTTATTACTGAGTGGCCTCAACTCTCCTGGGCTCTCCAAGGTTTTAAATTGACTGTTGTAGCTGCTTGCGTATATATAAGATCACTACAAGCTGGGCAAATATCTGTTTGTTTGTTTGTTTTTCACTTGATTGGCAGACTTCACAGCTTTTTATTATATTTGTCAGTGGCTTCTGAGTCAAGTCACTTGCATTACTTGATTATCCAAGGTTTGTGCATGAACGCCTCCATGTAGACACTGAGAATTGCTTTTGTTATTAAGAATCAGTTGGTTTTAGATGGGGGTAATATCAAATAGGGCTGAACTGAGCACAGGAGAGGAAGGCATGTGAACCAAGGACTCTTACGTGACAGTCTTTGACAAGCCTAACACATTCAGTGATGAGTAGCAATACACGAGTGCCTCCTCTGGGATTTTAGAGGTTCTGCAAGAAGATACCCCTATCATTTCTCCCTCTTGGTATACTATGAAACTGCACTGCCAAAATAGCCAGTGCAAATGAGTTTGTAGGGACACAGGCAAACTCTCTTGTTCCAGTAGTGTTACCAATGCTTGCTCTGGGGAGCACTGCTTTACTGTTATTTTATAAATAAATCAGGTTAAAATGATGCATTTAAAGTCATATAACTCACATCTGATATAATATGAAGGCCAGGGCAAATTTTGAAAAGTGTGTTACTGTGTATACATGCACTCACAACATCTAAGGGAAAAAAATCTTACACTAAAATAGACTTCAGCATTGTAATATTACATAATTAACTCTGAAGCACTCTGGTCTACTCCAGAATTGTTACTTTATTTTCTCTTTATGGCATATGGGATCCGTTTAGTTAATTGCTACCTATTCTTCCATTTCCTTGTTAAACCCATTAATTTAAGATAGAGGACATTTGTAGTTAACTTAGAGGGGCACTATAATCAATTTGGAGAAGTTTTCATTCCTTGTTTGATAACCAGATGCACACTACAGGCAAAGTACTTCATTTACGGGGCCCCTGCCTGAATATTTAGGCCAGTTAACTGTGGGAGATTGTGGTCTGTATTTGGAAATGTTATCTTGCCTACGGAGCTAATGGATTTGATCACAGTTTCTCGACTTGAGAAATCACAATTAGAGGGTCCCTACCCTCACTATTTAAAATAATAATACTAACTTTGTCTTTGAAGAAGAAAGGTGGGGACACATATCCTTATTATAATTCTTGAAAATACTTAGTACCATTTAGTAGTTCCTTCAAAGAAATATTCTTAAGGAGAATGAATCAGAAAGTATTGTAACCATGTACATAGATGTCACAAAATTTCCAATTAGAGTTTTTACTTTATTTTTTACCAAGCAATATCCTCAATACAAATATTTTATTCTTTTAAGTGATATTGCCATAGGCTTGACTGTCTGATTCTAAAGATCCTCAGGGTGGCATAGATCAGGTTTTAGTGGTATTAGTCAATTACAGAATATCACCTTATAGAAGGAACCTATTTTATCAACATACTAATGGCATAGAAAGAAAATAATCAGTTGTACTGTTGATCCAGAGAAGGCAGTACTTGCTACTTGGCATTGTTAAAATGGCACTTTAAGGAATGCTTTCAGTTGTTTCAGAGGTTTTGGTTAACCACTAGCTATTCCTTTTGTACAAAGAATCTAGGGCTTAGGAAGAGAGAAGTTGAAATGAAAAAGGAAGAAAAAGTAACCTTGAATACAAGCCTGCTGACTCTCCCCTTTCTCCTGAAAAAATCTCAGGCGCGCACGTGCACACACACACACACACACACACACACACACACACACACACACAGAGGATTCTTCCCTTCTGTCAGGGAGGGACAGCCAAGGTAGTATGATATTTTAATGAATATGCTCAAATTCTACTTATATACCTGATTAAGGTATGAAAAATTTGAGTATTTACTTCCTTGACCTCTACAGACCTGCAGAGAAAAAAAAAGTAGGTTGCTCTCTGTCACAGAGATCGACCCATTTAAAACTTGCCTTATTTAAAATCATGTTGCATTCAGTTAATGTTTCAGATTCATCCCTATTTTGAAAAGTGGCCTTCTGAGTACCTTTGCCCATTCCCTTTATTAAAAGCCCTTAGGGATCCCTATGCCACTGCTCTATCCAGTGGGGGAAGAAAAATGCCTTAGTACTTTTCCTTTCTGTCTCATGAATCTTGGCCTTATCCACAGTGTCATTCTGTGGTCGTAGGGAATGGACTACAAATAGGGCTTTTACCTTCTGAAATTCTCCCCTGCTGTCAACTCCCATCTGCCTAAAGCCTGTGGTCTCCAGTTTCTTTTGTGCCCCTGATAATATTGTACTTTATAAGTATGTCTT